AGGAAGAGTGAATATAAAGTCTGTGTGGGGGAAAACACGTGGCTTCAAACCACATACACTAAATTTCTCGAATACCTGGAAAATCTCTGACCGATTCATGTCTCGAGTACGAATTCTCCTATTTTCAGCCGGAGTAGGACACCTGACGAATCAAATGCAACTCAGACTGAATGTAAGCAAACAGTTGCCCTCTTCTCCAAGTTTTGCTGGCAAAACTATTCACTGGTAGATATTCGCATTCGCACGTTACGCTTACTCGTGTTCCCGTCTACTACCAGCTTGATTCTACCGCATTCGGAACTCGATTACAGAGGAGAGCAATCCTCGTTATGCCACTGACGTTTTGGCTTTAACAGTAATGTACAACGCGGACAGGTTGTTTAATCAATTCCTTTGATTCTGCCTCGTTTCTCACCTGTTCGTATATCTCTCACTCTCTCCTCTAGGGTGTGATCGGATCAGCTGGAGTGCCTGGTGAACCCGGAAAGCAAGGTGAAACTGGCTTGCCCGGTGATCCCGGTCATCCGGGTATGATGGGCAAAAAAGGACGAGCGGTAAGTGTGACACATTGTTCTCGCTTAAAATCATACTACCTAGATAATTGTGACAGGGACAAGGCAAAAACGCAACTGCGGCACTCAGCCTTTAAACATTCCTTTGTATTTGGAGAAACGGTTTCCTTAAACCAGGATAAATGAGCACTGGTTCTTTTGCTCAATCAGTGAGAGTTAGCGCATCACAGTTAAACCCTGAGCCATACCAATCGACTGAGCTCTACTACTTGTGGCACCACTCGTCTTGTGACGCTGTGATAAAACTTAAGTTAGCGGAATCCACTGGAAGTTTAGGTTTCGTATTCTTTTAGAGATCATGTCAACCTGATGGAAATCTCAGTTCTGTTGTTTCATGCCTGTTTTGGATCTATATTTCACAGTAATCAAGCGATGCAAATCCACTCAGTCGAGCATTTTATTAATTAGGAAGCGAGAAAGTTAAACCGCTCGTCCTTTTACACTGTCTGCTTGTTCACAATTCCGGTTCTTGTGTCACTCATTTTTCAGGGTTTGCGTGGATCTGCTGGTGCACGCGGTCCTCCTGGCATTGCTGAACTACCCAAGTTTAAAGAGCCCTCGCTCACTACTGGAGGACCCGGCTTGGCCGGACAACGTGGTCCACAAGGTGCCCCCGGTATGAGTGGCTCTCCTGGAGCTAAAGGTAGAGCTGGTATGAAAGGTCTCCCTGGTGACCGAGGCGATTTCGGTGAACGCGGACCGCCAGGTCCTCCGGGAGAAGCTGGTGTGGATGGCGAACCAGGACCAGATGGTGACAATGGTCCGGACGGTACTCCCGGTGAGGAAGGTCCCCCAGGTCCTCCAGGTGCATCTGGTGATGTTGGACCAATGGGAGCTCAGGGACCTCCCGGTGCTCCCGGAGCTAAAGGAGCTATGGGTCTAACTGGACTTCGAGGTGAACCTGGTCAACGTGGCTCTCCTGGTCCAATTGGTCTTACGGGAGAAATCGGTGAAATGGGTCCACCTGGACCACCTGGAATGAATGGAAATGTTGGTCGTAAAGGTCCGATGGGTCAGCGTGGTACTCCCGGTTCACGTGGTAAGCCTGGCGCCCCAGGTGAGGCTGGAAAACCTGGCGGTCGAGGCCCAGCTGGTTATCCTGGATTCATGGGTGCTCCTGGTGAGCCTGGTCCTGAGGGTCCGGCTGGCACTG